AAACGGAGCGGAAGCCAAAGCCTTTGTGAAGAGATCTGCCGGTTGTTCATTGGTGGAGATGTGGTGAGTACACAAAACACCTCGTTGGATTTCGTCACGCACAAAGTGGCAATCAATTTCAATGTGTTTCGTACGCTCATGGAAGACAGGATTAGCTGCAATATGGAGGGCTGCCTGATTATCACAGAACAACCGCATGGGTTGTTTGTGACGCACACCAAGGGAGAGAAGCAGGGATTTCAGCCATTTTAGTTCACAAACACTGGTTGCCATAGCCCTGTATTCGGCCTCAGCCGAAGATCAGGAAACGACACTTTGTTTCTTTGTTCGCCAAGATACCGGAGAATTGCCAAGAGTGATAAAGTAGCCAGTAACAGAACGTCGAGTCAAGGGACACCCAGCCCAATCAGAGTCACAGAAAGCTTTAAAGGTAAGATCACTCTGTACTGGAAGAAACAATCCTTGCCCGGGACAGGCCTTGATGTACCGTAGAACCTGGGTCGCCCCGTCCCAGTTTTCCTGTCGCGGCTCCCCCATGAATTGAGACAACACATGAACCGCATATGCCAAGTCACGACGACTGATCGTGAGAGAGATGAGGCGCCCTACAAGTCTGCGATAACGCTCTGGATTAGTGAGAAGTGGGCCACTTTCTAGAGCCAGTCGTTGGTTCTGAGGAAGAGGAGTGGAAGCCGGTCGAGCACCCAGAAATCCAGTTTCACAAAGTATATCAAGAGCATATTTGCGCTGGCAGATGAAAATCCCTTTCAAATTTCGGGCAACCTCTACGCCAAAAAATATTTTAAAAGACCAAGATCTTTCATATGAAAGCAATCAGAGAGATACCGTTTAAATTTGCCAATGAATTCTTCATTATTTCCTGCTATCATGAGATCATCAACATATACCTGCACATGAAGCTCGATGGAGCCCCGCAGAAGAGTAAACAGAGAGTAATCAGCCTTGGATTGGTGGAACCCAAAATGTTTTAACGCAGAGGTGAGTTTGGCAAACCAACACTGTGGAGCCTGACGAAGACCATATAGGGATTTATGAAGCCGGCAAACCAATCCTTTACCGCGAGCGTTAAACCCGGGAGGAAGAGTCATGTATATTTCATCGCGAAGGTCTCCATGCAAAAAGGCATTATGAACGTCCATCTGATGTAGGAACCAGTTGCGGGCAGCGGCAACAGCTAAAAGAGTGCGAACAGTAACCAACTTAGCCGTCGGAGCAAAAGTCTCTTTAAAATCGATGCCCTCTTTCTGTCGGTTCCCAAGCACCACCAAACGAGCTTTGTAGCGTTCAATGCTTCCATCAGACTTGTGCTTGATTTTATAGACCCACTTAGATCCGATTGTTTTCCTTCCAGGAGGCAGGGGGACGAGTGACCAAGTACCATTAGCTTCTAATGCTTGAATTTATTCCTTCATAGCTTGTACCCATAGTGGGTTTTTGACCGCCTCAGAAAAGAATGTAGGCTCAACATCTGCACTTATAGCTGCCAAAAAACATATATGGGAAACAGAAAATTTGTCAGCGTTAATAAAATTTGTAATACAGTGTGCTGTACCTGGAGGCGTTGTTGGTTTGAGTGAATCAGGAGAGAGACGTTGAATGGTGTGAGTGACAAAGTCACGCAGTCGCAAAGGAGGACGGCGTTCTCTTTCACTTCGGCGCAAAGTGTCTTGGGTTGGAAGGGTTTGGTTATCAAGGGTAGAAGAAGGCTGGACTGGGTCATCGGGTTGGCTGTTTGGTTCTGATGTTGCAGGGTTTTCTAGATTGGATTGGAGTAACAGTCGACCGGGGTCCTGAGAACGGTCCAGTGTTTCGACCGTCTGGGTGGCAGTGTCAGGTCCAGAGGGAGACGGTCGACCGTGGGTTGCAGGGCGGTGGGTCTTGTCGACCATTTTGGTGGCAGATTCTTCACTGGGTATTTCTTCCTCAAAAAAATCAGCAGTGGGTTCGGGTTCTGTGAGATTGGGAGTATTTTGTGAATGGAAAGGAAAATGGTTTTCAAAGAACTTGACATCTCGACTGACAAATATTTTATTATTGTCCAAATCGAGAAGGCGCCATCCTTTTTGGCCGAATGAATAGCCAAGGAAAACGCAGCGTCGAGAACGGGACTCAAATTTGTCTCCATGGTGGGATTGATTGTGGGCATATGCAAGGCATCCGAAAACCCGGATATGACTATATGAGGGCATTTTTTCATAGATCATGGAATATGGGGTTTTGCCTTTGTGTAGCTCAGAGGGTGTTCGGTTAATTAGATAGGCAGCGGTGAGAATACAATCACCCCAGAATTTAAGGGGTAGGTTGGCTTTGAAGCGAAGGGCTCTGGCAATGTTGAGAATGTGACGGTGTTTTCGTTCGACTCGACCATTTTGTTTTGGGGTACCGACGCAAGAGGATTCAAAAATAATCCCATGATTGTCAAAGAAAGATTTTAAACAAGTGAACTCTGTACCATTGTCACTTCGTACAGTTTTCACTTGTTTATTGAATTGTCGCTCAATCATGGAAAAGAAATTACGCAAGACAGTAGGGAATTCATATTTGTGATTTAATAGATACACCCAAGTTGCCCGAGAGAAATCATCAACAATAGTTAAGAAATATCTAGCCCCAGTGCGAGACGGAGTACAGTACCCACCCCATAAATCACAGTGAATCAAGGAAAAAGGAGTAATAGACTTATTCAGACTAATTGGAAAAGAGTCACGACATTGTTTTGAACGAAAACACACATCACAAGGGGAATCAGGGATATTGGTATTTTTGGGTAAATAGAGAAAAGTGTTGACAGTGGTGTAAGAGGGATGACCCAAGCGCTTGTGCCAAATGTCCAGATCCTTCGCCTCCTTCACAGTGCAGACTTTGTCCTTCACACCTTTCTTGAGATAATATAGTCCTTCAGCCTGCTCACCCATTCCAATCAGCATCTTCGAGATATAGTCCTGTATAAGACAAATTTTATTATTAAACATGACAATTAAATTCTTTTTCTCAAGAAGTTGTGAGACAGATATAAGATTCAGTTGAGTTGAGGAACTAGCAAAACATTTTCTAAGGTGATCAAATTATCCACAATCACACTCCCCTTTTGGTTGGCTATCGCACAATCTCCATTCGGTAGGCCAACTGAGCAAGGTTTTATTGCTTCCAAATTTTTAAGACACTTCTTATCACCGGTCATATGTTGACTCGCTCCACTATCAATTATCCAAGAAGTGTTAGTCATACCTGAAAATTTACTTTCCATACCCAAATCTTTCTCGTTTAAGAGTCCCATGAGTGCATTCCATTGATTGGTTGTGAGAGAAGGGAGATTTGGTTATTGGAGCGCGCGTCCCCCATCCGTTGCGTTGGCTTGAGCCGTGTGTGCCGCCGGTTCGCCTGCTGGACCGCCACCAGCTCCGCCGCGGTTACCTTGGTCGGCGTTACCCCCCTGCCGCCGCGCCGTCCCCCTGTGTTGTTGCCGCGGCCATTACCTCGTCCCGGGTT